CGTTGGGTATCTGGCATCGTACTCTGTGTTACGCTTGCGTCTTTGTGAGTTGACCCATTCAGCGCCTGACAGCGAGCTGATCATGGACTTCATCATTAGTCTTCAGACCTGCACGACTTTCTATTCGCTTTGGATACATGTCATTGTCTACGACGGGTACCCAATCGCGGTATGTGCTCTCCCACACCACCAGCGAAGCCGTTTACTCAATGTTAGCGCAGGGCATCACGTCTTCAACACTGGTGTTGGAAGAGGCAACTCCCTTATTCGTGCGTATCCAGCGCATCTAGTAGTTCGGCTTACTGACAAATCCCTAGATCATGCTTTCTAGTGCACCGGTAAACCTTGTCAGACCGCCATGGCGCATTCCTGTTGGACTTACGGATGCAACCTAGGTGCAAGCCCTATATACATGGCGATGTTATATGGTGCGTACCACACGGGCGCTCGCTGTACGCGCCTTCTGAACTAGCCACCCAGATTCTCAATCGCAAGCCCTGGATTCCCGCGCTACTCCTCGCTGCAGTTCTGGCTAGTGTTGGCCTTCACATCCACGCGACCTACGAGCTTGTACGCATTGGTCCAGCGCCCGGCGACACGGGTACGACACCAGAACGCATCAACCGCGTCCCCACCTGTACGTGGTCTCAGTGTCGCAAGTTACTCGATGTGACGCGAGGCTGACGGTGCTTGTAGATCTAGCCGCTCTCGCTCTCAATATTGGTCAGCTTCGTGCTATGTCCTTGTCTTCCTTGAATCTGACGGTGTCATAGCTCTGGACGTTGTTCTCACTGGTATCTGTGAGTGGTGATTCGCTTCCAACAGCGCAAGTTATGCGGCTCATGCCTATGCAAGTGCTTTCGTTTCTCATCAGATCACTCAAGAATGTCTTCACTCGGAGAGTCCGCAAGGTGCGTTGGTATATCTGGCTCACGTCGGTCTTGAGCCGAATGCGGGTGTTATAGGCAATACAACGGTTGATCTTGCTAGCATGAGAGTGCGCTCTGCCTCCGACGCTCTGCGCCACGGCGACTTGTATCACGTATGGCTTGTTCGCATTCAAGATACGGTCGCCCGCTTGATGAAAGAGGATGCTTCTCAGCAAGACTTCCAGCGCACGACACTATTTTGGGATGCACCGCTTCAGGGAATGCTGGGGAAGCTGTACGTGATCTCACTCTTGGCGACCTTGTGAGTGACTCCCCAGCCTGCACTATCCAAGCGTTGACTGAGCTCGTTCAGGAACAATGCATCTTTTGAACAACTTGGACGGCGGAGACGAGCGGAACCTGCATCTCCGGGGCAAGAGTACCCCAACATAGACACCACGATCATACTGGACAACTTCACCACACAAGCCTACCCCACAACGACTGATGAAGAAGCACAAGCGGATTCATCTCTACAGTCTTCACACATGGGCACCGGCTCTTCTGATACGAAGGATGACGGTCCACATCCTTGGTCTATCTGGAAGATACCTACGTAGCACAGGGTCGAGCGTATGACCTCTCATCGGACTTTTCCATCTGTATTATAAGCACTATGACTTGGGCTATGAATCGAAGGCCTGCGACGATACGCGGGCTGGTAGCGGGTGCTAATATAGTATCATGAAAGAACGCTAGAGTCATCTCAAGTGCTGGACTACGGCCAACCGGCGATGAGTGCGAAGTTTGTGAGACCATCGGGGCATGTACGTGCAGCGAGTACACGGTAGCTGCGCCGCACACGTCATCAGCCTGGGTGCCGAGGGAGATCGCTTCGAGCAAAGTCTCACAGCATATGGTCATGCAAGCACTCCGCGGCCGTCGAAGGAGGGGAGGAAGGGATGGAATAACGTGGTGCCACAACCGAGAGCAGCGCGAGGGAGATCTTTGATCGGCACATGCCGCACTGCCGCTGATGCCGTCCATTCGTCAACCGCGGCGTCTGCTCAGGCCTGCTCTTTATCATCGGCCGTCATGGTCAGAGTTGACGCCAGTCTCATCTTGGTCCTATCGCGGCATTCATCCTCACAATGGATAGAGCGATATGTGTACTCGGCATACAAGGCTTTGTGAAGTACATGTGACGGTGCCTCTCCTTAGGCGCTTGAGCGCTTGAGCATTCACTCTTGGCCGGACGAGTGGGGCACCACACTCTTCCTCTCACCACCATCTTACCATACGCCACAGAGGCATCTTCTCGCTGCTCTATACCATTTCTGCTGCTAGGTGCTGCAGGTTGTTCTCGCATCCCCGTGATATTGCTTCACGCGCGTGGGGGGGTGTCGTTGAGACCGGAGTGCTGTTGCACAGTCCGCAGCCAGACATCCTACCATATGGCATCTGTGAGGCTGATTTAGGGGACTTCTTCCCTCTTACAAGCACTCAACACTGAACTGGTGACAGCGGGTCGGGTGGCTATAAAGGACTCGCCAGATTGAATCGTCGATAATGGTCATCATCGACGAGAAGATGGCTACGGCCCATCGTCCACTCCCTCAACCTCCCCCGCCATATCAACTACATCAACGCAGGACGGACGGCACAGATGCAGTACCTCCACCTCCGTTTGCCGCGTACTCAAGGCCGGCGCCGAAACTCTCCGCCCTCCCTCTTCATCTACTCCTTCATATTCTGTACCACACCTTCCCGCAGCGACCGAAGTTCGAGTCGGGTACGGTTGTGAGACAGCGAAGAACGCTGTATGGGCTNAGTCGGGTACGGTTGTGAGACAGCGAAGAACGCTGTATGGGCTTGCTATGGAAGCCAGGCATGTTAGCAGATCGTTCTACATCGGTATGCCTCGATCAGTGTACATCCAAAGACTCCCTGCCAATACCGTCGCAGCTTGTATGCACATTCTACGATCGTCCTATCTCCCAGCATACTCGGAACTCGTCAAATATCCGTACACCTCAGATCCATTCCCATTGGCCGCAACACCGCCCACCGACGCATCCTCGTTGACGAGCTCGCCGGTTCTCCCGTCGCTCCAGAGGGAAACGGCGGTGCTGGATCTATTTATCGCGCTCAAGGTCCGCGAGGATGTTTGGGTCGACGACTCGGAACTACATCTCGAACGAGACGAGTCCTTCCGCGATCTCTTTGATCTACTACAACCCAGGGCGCGAATGGAAGACCTCGTGCGCGCGTACGGCGAAAGAAGCAGTCTCGTATACTCGAGGCTGGCCAGGGTGGACGGACACCATACTTCGCACAAGGGCATGCTAGATTTTGCTACCCTTGCGGCGTCATTCAGTCCGAGGCGTGTGGGAATTGTCGTCATGGTTCAAGGCCGAAAGCGAACGGTAGTGGACACGGAGCGTGCACGGGACGAGCTGCTCGAGGCTGCTGCCCAGCGCCTGGTCGTAGACCTGGGCGACTGGCTTCATACGTAATTTTTCCCGTTGCGTCTGACTACGAAAGCTTAGGTGATTGTGGTTTTCGGTACTTCATTCCTCAACGCCTCTGGATCGCTCATTCGTTCGGGTCGTCGTCTTTTCTTCCCGACATTCATCTTGCACAGTCCACTCTTGTGCGACGTGCAGCACGTCAGGCTATCAGATGCATGGCGAATTGTAGCGGTCGTACCACGGTCATCTACTCCGAGTCTAGTGTGCTATGGCCACACCGCCTGTCAGCTCGCCAACCTCAACCAGAAGTGGTCAATGCGTCTGCGCATAGGTCAGCGAAAAGTCGGTCTGATGGAGATGCGTGTCTCGAAGACGACGTGGCAGGAGACGAGAGCAGGGGTCATGTTGGTAGTCCAGTTGCTTTCACGGACATGTCTCGTATTGGGCACGGTGGCACTACTCGAACTTTGCGTGCTGCTGATACACCTCCAATTATGCAGCAAGTGATAGACAACATGCAATTCGACCTTCTTACTAGTACATCGACAATGCCTCCTTTGCGCGTGGTGTACGTGCGATTTCGTTCCGCACCACTTCCAACAAAGCAACCCTCAGTCCGAGTCTGACCCATCTCCCGGATCTTCAAGCTGAGACGCGAAGTCCACGAGAATAGCCGACCACGGCCCGTTAGGTTCCCGCCTGGCACGCGGATACATGTCCTTCCTGAGCCTCCGCGCAGATGGCAGCGCCGATGTGGCATCCTTCGCGCGATGCTCCAACAGCATGCGAACGATATCCGCGTCGCGTCTTTCGTGGGCAATATGCACAGCAGTGTCTCCTCGATTGTCGAGCTCGTCGACGGCGGCTTCATGTCTGAGCAATATGCGACAGACGTCGGCGTACCCTTCATTTGCAGCTAGATGCAAAGGGGTTTCTCCGCGGTCATTGCGGGCCCGACATCGAGCACCGGGATGCGCCCCATTCGCCACGGGGTGTTCAAGGAGAATACTAACGATCTCCGGAAATCCTTCCGCTGCGGCATAGTGCAAAGGTGTGTTTCCGTCGTCGGCAGGGTCGTCGATGGGGGCTCCGTGATAAGCGAGAAATAGGCGACAGATATCGGCATTCCCGTACACTGCCATGCCCAACGGGGTCACCCCATAGTCGTTGCGGGAACAGTATCGAGCGGCGAGTTCCGCCTCATCGATATCTGCCTCGCGGTAGTGCAAGAGCAGCTCGACAACATCGCGACGTCCTTGGTCTGCGGCCGTGTGCACAGGTGTGTTCCCTTCATCGTCGGGGTCATTGATGAGGGCACCGCGGTCGAGCAACAAATGGCACATCTCAACATGCCCTGCTGGTGCCGCTTCGTGTAGTGCAGAGCCGCCCTCGCCGGGAAGCGTGATGAGGGTGCCATCAGAGTCCAGCATCCTTTTTACGCGATTGCAAAGATTCAGCCTGGCAGCGCAATGGAATGCGGTATCACGTTCAAGGCGGAAGGTTCCGGCGGCCCAAAGGGTGAAGGATGGGGAGCCTATCTGAAGGAAAGCGTCGAGACAGTCGCCGAGATCGTCTTCGTTGCGAAGCGATACATGCTTTTCCCAATGCTCGTTCGCATATGCACGTAAGTGTGGGTATGTGACATCCACATGAAGCGCCCTGAGACAGATCTTTGCGAACGCAAGGTTGGCAGAGTACTCATCGAAGCGGTGGTGACGTGCAGGAGTCGCAGCGCTCTCTAGCATGATGGACATAAGGTACTCCTTGGCAGAGAAGTGAATAAATTGCACAGTTCTGAACTGGCAATTGGACGTGTCCGTCCAGTCAACGATGCACAGGAGACCGGGGCAGTTCCTGAGTACGAACGTCTCGTGGTCTACTTCGTCTTGCTTAGGCAGGTGCTGAGAATCGAAGTCCATGCAATATATCTCGACCACCTCCGCGGGGAAAAGCGGTCGCCGGGCGGATGCGACACATTCAAAGACGCGACGACGCCGTTCCACTACGGCCAGCATTGTACCAGACTTCTCCAGAATGCGCTTGTATGTGTCGTTAAGATTGGTAGGCAGCTCATTTAGGATGGGCACGACGTCGCCAAGTGTGATAGAGCCTCTTAGCTGCAGTAGCTGGAGATCGACCCATAAGAACCTGTTATTAGGGATGAGTACGTTGTCGTTGCCATATCAAAATGTCCAAACATACATTCCCCGGGAATTCTCATTGAGAAATGTATGCACCTTCTTCTTGACTTCGGGCGCCCAGCCCTCAACGCTTCGATCAAGTCGAGAGGTTATATACGCCCTCACGTCTGCCTGATGCTTTTGGGAATCGTGAAGATTGAGGGCACGATGATGCAGAGGGGATATGAGATCTCGTATGTCGGCTTCAGGGCGACTAGTCACAAGCAGATGGAGGTCTTTCTGGCCGATGTTGGGCGCACGGAAAATGTTGAAAAAGCTGCGTAAACCCTCGCGCGCGGCCAGAGGACATTCGTCCAGTGCATCGACGATGATAAATGTGCGACCCGATAACTCCAATAGTCCTCCAAGCATGGCAATGAGATCCTCGTAGTGGGGAGAGTCAGATGAGCGCCGCTTCTGATCTTGAAGCCAGTTGGAACATTTTTCGGAGCGAGCTCCAAGCTGGAAAACTAAAGACGAGGCAAGCGCGCGACAGTCCCGCTTCTCGGTGTCGAAGAAGAAGTAGGCCACAAACAGTGTCTCGTCCGCTTGAAGTGTGTCGATAACAGAGGAGCTAATACGAAGTGAGAATCAATGCTCGACATCAAGAGAAACGTAAACCTCACCTGAGGACACTCTTACCAGAGCCAGCTGGTGGGCCAAGTCAGGTAACGCCAGCTAATCATGAGACGTCACACACCGTTGCCATGCACCCAGTACGCTCCGCCCTTCTGGTCCTTCCATTTGCCAAACTCAGCGTCGTAGAACCACTCGCAGCTGTTGGCTCGTCTCTTGCTCTCGTAATTTGGAGGTCGCCGATCAGTGGGGTTGAGCCATGTGCGAAGCTGATCCTCAACTAGTTCATTTTATCAGAGGAAAATTCGAAGACGCGATGCACGGAGATGCCTATACCAGCTTGGTCATACACAAATTTCACCCAGGGGTGGACTACGGGACCGGTTAAATCGGCGAATTCATGAACGATACAACAACACTCACGCTCGCGAGCAATGAAGTTACTATGCGCTACCGCCAGCTCTAGTCCCTTATGTGCGAGAACTTCAAAATTCTTAAGCACCTTCGCTACTTCTGGTTCACCACTAAATACGCGAGCATAATCCTCTTGAAACGCATAATCAGCAAGATCATGTTACAATTTGCAACCCAAGATGCTCACTTGTACGGCGAAAGAGAGCTCTGAGAGTCCTCTTGTAATAGGGCCCGATAGCCAGCTTGCAGTACTTTGTTATGAGTGCCAAAGCGATGAACACTTGCTCAAGCGTGTCGGCGAAGATGTTCATGAGGGCAACAGGAGGCGCCATCCTCGATGGCGAGTTTTCGGGAAGGTGGATCTCGATAAGTTTGAGGCGGTTCTTGATAGTTTCGAAGAGAGACTCGATGCTGTCGTACATAGCACCATGGCTCTTAGTAGCCTAATCGTGGTTAAAACCCTAAGAGATGAATTGCTGCGTGGGCCATCACCTGCAATAACGCCCCGATGGCGCAGAATATAGCCTTGCCTCCCGGTGTCGCATCCTGCTCCCGAATCAGAGGGCGCCTCATGTTGGGGTGAGAGGTTCTGATACATACCGAAGCAACCTCGGCGCATGCGTCAAGGAATGGCAATACAGCATTCACAATGAGCTTCAACACCTTCCGTGCCTTCTCTCCGTTGTCGCGAAAGACCTTGAATAGCTCCTTTTGGTTCATCAAATGCGCAGTGACCGCTTCAACAATGTCGACATCCGGCGGGATTGACGGGAAGTCGATTGCGAACGGAAGGTTGAGCAAGTCTTTCTTTGTCTCCTCCTTGTAGCGCCGCAAGGCTTTCGCCCAGAGCTCGCCGAAGTTGCGCGGACAGACGTCCTCTCCTGGGCTTGCAGGCGGGGGCACAGGTGCAGGTGGAGAAGACATGGGCGTGTGAGGTGATTATGGTCGGAAGGGAGAAGCGATTAGGGCCGTTTCCTGGTGCGCCGAGAGGTCTTTCCGTTGAGCACGTTGCATGTGTGGGAAAACCTGTTTGTATGGAAACGCAAAGACGCCCTATAGTCGCGCGGCCTCGCAATCCGGAGCTTCGTTGACTGAAATTGGTACTTTGGGTTTGACAAAGCACGTGTGCACGTCTCAGGAAGCGTCCGACGAAGATCTGCGTGGTCCGAGTGCCGAGGCATTCCCACTTGGCAAGTACAGCACCTATTCAGTCAAAGGTGAAATATGTACTAAACTCGAAGACCTCACATTCTGATGACACGAAAAATACGCCGCACACATGTATACATGCGTATACGCTGTAGACCACCTATGTTCTTTCAAGTACAGTCCCAACCGATCAGCTCGCGAGCATCACGATACGTGTACAGTACATTTCAGACAGTTTGAGGGCTGAGCCTTAAACTTCGTCATACGAAAATAGCGAGAACACGCTACCCCGATGGTACCGTACCGCACGATGGTGGTTGACGACGAGTTGCGGCGAGACGCGGCGGACTCGATCATTCATTTACGAGCGATTCCCACGCCTTCCGAAGTGCCGAAACGCACTTTCGAGCAACTTTACAGCCACTCACCGCAATGCACGGGCGCGGAGAGCGACTTAAGGAGCTCGTTATGTGTGACGACGAGGTCGGGAGCGGCGGGGCGGGAGGGCGGGAGGGATTTCGTGATGGCGGGGGCACGAGGCAGATGGCGGGATGCGCGGATCAGATGCGCGGGCCGCAGATCTTAATTTCCCGCTGGAAATGGGGCTGATCACTCCCTGTTGCCATACCTGCAGCCCACTTGAAGACATCCAGACGTTATCGTGGCTCTCCCAAGTATGCTCCTTCGCGCTCTTTCGCGTCGTCGAGGCCTCCTTGTGATCTGAGGGCCAACTCTGAGCAGACTGGCGCGTGTTTGTTCAGCGTATATGGGAGTCAGTGGAGGCATATGTGGGCGTCCAGCTCGAACGGCCGACGGCGAAGCGATCCAACATTGTTAGGCGGACAAATAGTGATTGTATTGGACGATACCAAGTGTCGTAGCGGGCTTAGTAGAAGTGCGTTGATGGGCGTTGTGGCGCGAGGACAGCGTGGTAGTCGCGGCCGCGGGCGGCGGCAGAGCCTTTCCACGCTGGACGCCGGTCGCTCGTTCCTCGACCTCCACCACCACTCAGTTATCAGATACAAGTTGCCCTTCCCTCTTCTCCACTATACTCATGGAACTATCTACACTCTCGACTCATGCAATTGAAATAAGGACGATCAGGAGTAGACGAGGGATGGTGAACACGGAGGACAGAACGCGCGTACGCAGAGGATTATAGACGGTACGCCCATGTTCCTGCTCAGCTACCTTCCTTGCGGTCTGCTGACAATTGAACAGATTCTCCTGCAGCACTCAAACTTACGGCACACCTAGGGCGCTCGTGTATCGCGCGCAGGCGTGCTCGCTCACACACCGCCTTGAACCCTCCTTCCCCACTTCTCGACCTACTTTGCCGAGGGCACTCGGAACCAATGCCTCCTGGTGGACGCTTTCGGTTTCCAACTTTACTGCGGATGTTGGCGATAGACGCTCAACACTTCGGATGCATCACACGCCCTCCCTTGGATACAAGTGAAGAAACTGCCCGCGTGAGATATCATGCTGTTGCAGGGCGTACCTGTTGAGTTGGTCCGTGCGTGGCTATGAGGATGGGCGGGAGCGGTATAGGTGCGCGTCTCTATGTGCGCTCTGTATCCGCGTGCTCCACGTCGCAGAGTGCTGATACATCTACAGCATAGACTTAAACGTCCTCCACCTCTACCGACCCGCGTCTATTACACCACCCGACCACAAGTCGTATTGCTCGATCTTCGCTGCTCTCTCGCTCCTGAGCGTCGCCTTGCAGACCTAGGACTATCTGCCCGACCTTCATGCAAGATTGACGGAACGCAGTTCGGTCAACGACATCGCCCGGGAGCGCGACAACGGCAAACTTCGGTGGTTTTTGGGCCGCTCACCCTTCGTCCGCGGGTCCCCCCGTGGTACTCGGGATGCCTATGTGCGTCGCCGTTTACGCTCTCAGGCGCGATCCTATCTCCTTGCATATAGCTTGCAAGCTCATATCGTACTGTTCAGCGACACTTTGCGTCGCGCGTGCAGGACGTTTCACCATCCACGCATCATGACTTCATGACTAAGCCTAGGCATGTGCTTCACTTCTGGTTGTTGTCAGCCATGCTGATGCAACAGATAGGTGCGAAGTCTGCAGGGTGCACACGACGAGGATGCCGATACAGGTGCGCCGTTTGTTCTCGCTCTACTTCTTCACTGCGATACTAATATTCACTTTCAGCGCCTATTTTAGCGTAGATCTCAGCCTCCATATGGCGGCCTACGTATGTTAGTTTACGCCATGCATACCCAGACGACAGACGCGGGCTCTGGGTGATATTGGAGCGTGAAGCGAAGAACGCGGACAAATGCGCGCTGATACCCCGTGACGGCTATCCTCGCTTAACCACACTTTCTGGATGCTCGCGTCAGCGGATGGCTTCTCTCTGCCGGGGCCGTTTTGCATACGCTCGCCTATGTTGGTCGGTTTACCTACCACCCCAAGTACTGTTCGCAGTGTTTCCGTACAACCCAATCATATACCTCATCCATAATACAAATGATATCAATTATATCCCTATCTCTAAGCGGTACAACTTAGTGAAAAAAACTAACAAACGATACAACGCCATCCTGTTCGGTCTCAAGGCCTCCTAACTTACACCGACGCTCCCCCCTCCCGGCGCGGCGTATATGTGATGATTCTGGCACGATTCGCAGCACCAGCAACCCTCAGTCTGACTCATCTGCTGGGTCCTCGAGCTGAGACGCGAAGTCCTCCAGAATGGCGCCCCACGGCCCTTTGGGCCAGACCTCGGCACGCTCGCGCAAGTTCTCCCTGAGCCTCCGCGTGCGTGGTAGGACTTGTGGCGTGTCCTTCGCGCGATGCTCTAGTAGGATACGAACGATACCCGGCTCTTTTCCTTGCTCGGCGCGGTGTACAGGAGTATCGCCGTATTCATCAGTGTCGTCGACGAGGGCTCCGTGACTGAGCAACAGGCGACAAACGTCGGCAGATCCCATATATGCGGCCTTGTGCAACGGGGTCTGCCCGTCCATATTGCGGGCACGACATCTAGCGGTGGAATCGGCCCCATCCGTTGCGGGGTGTTCCAAGAGTATACGGACGATATTCGAACATCTCTCCGACGCGGCAATGTGCACAGGAGTGTCTCCGTCTCCGTCGGTGTCGTCGACGAGCGCTCCGTGGCTGAACAACAGTCGGCAAACGTCGGCATGTCCCCAACGTGCGGCCTCGTGCAACGGGCTCAGCCCGCGCTTATTGCGGGCACGACATCGAGCGGTGGGATCTGCCCCATCCGCTGCGGGGTGTTCCAAAAGCATACGGACGACATCCGAGTGTCCTTCTCTTGCCGCTTCGTGCACAGGAGTGGCTCCGCATTCGTCACTGTCGTCGACGAGCGCTCCATGACTGAGCAACAGGCGACAAACGTCGGCAAGTCCCCTAGATGCGGCCTTATGCAACGGGGTCTGCCCGTCCTCATTGCGGGCACGACATCGAACGGTGGGATCTGCCCCATCCGCTGCGGGATGCTCCAAAAGTAGACGAGCTACGTATAGGTACCCCCTCGCCGCGGCGTCGTGCACAGGTGTGTTTCCATCTTTGTCAGTGTCGTCGACGAGGGCTCCATGGCTGAGCAGCAGGCGACAAACGTCGACATGTGCCCAAGATGCGGCATCATGCAACGGGGTCTGCCCGTCCTCATTACGGGCACGACATCGAGCGGTGGGATCTGCCCCATCCGCTGCGGGGTGTTCCAAAAGCATACGGACGACATCCGAGTGTCCTTCTCTTGCGGCTTCGTGCACAGGAGTGGCTCCGCATTCGTCACTGTCGTCGACGAGCGCTCCGTGGCTGAGCAACAGACGACAAACGTCCGCATGTCCCTCACTTGCGGCGTAGTGCAACGGGGTTTTCCCATTCTCCTTGCGGACACGAGATCGAGCGGTGGGATCTGCCCCATCCGCTGCGGGATGTTCCAAAAGCACACGGACGATATCCGAGTGTCCCTCCGATGCGGCATTGTGCACAGGAGTGTCTCCGTCTCTGTCGGTGCTGTTGACGAGGGCTCCGTGGCTGAGCAGTAGGTGACACATCTCAACATGTCTCAAAGATGCTGCTACATGCAGCGCAGATCTACCGTACCGATCCGGAATTGTGAGGAGAGATTGGTTGGGAGCAGATGGGTCGCTCAATATCTGTGCCATAATCCTTTCTGCATGATGGCATAGATTCAACCTAACCGAGTGATGGAAGGCGGTGTCCTGGCCATGCTCCGAACCAGGGCCGGACCAGCGGGCGAAAGAAGGTGAGTCTATCTGAAGGAAAGCATCGAGAAGATCGCCGAGATCGTCTTCGTTGCGAGATGATACGTGTTTTGCCCAATAACAGTCCGCATATGCACGTAAGCTCAGGGGTGGGGTATCTATGTCAACCTGGAGGGCCGAGAGGCAGATCTTTGCGAGCGTAAGATTGGCGGAGTAGTCATCGAAGCTGTAGCGATGTGCAGGAGCTGTAGTGCTCTCGAGATGATCGGTGGACGTGAGATATTCCTTGGCAGAGAAGTGAATGAATTGGACGATTCTGTGTTGAGCGTCATTCCAATCCGTCCAATCAACTATGTTGAGGAGTCCTGGGCACTTCTCGAGTATGAATCTCTCGCAGTCTTGGATCGGGACGAGGGGAGTACGAGAGTTAAAGTTCATGCAATATATCTCGATTACTTGAGAGAGGAAAAGCGGACGCTTCGCAGAAGCGATGCATTGGAATACACGACGACGCCGCTCCACTGAAGCCTGCGATGGATTAGATCTCTGTAAGATGCGCGTGTATGTGTCGTTTAGGTCGGAAGGCAGCTCGTCCAAGGTGCCTTCGACGTCGGCGCTCGAGATGCAGTCTCGTAATCGCAGTAACTGGAGATCGACCCATAGGAACCTGATATACGATGAGTACAAGTCTTCGCCGTATCAAGTATAGAGCATACATTCCGTTGGACCTTGTGATGAGGGCTTTGCGTATCTTATCTTTGACGTCGGGCGCCCAGTGGTGCTCGTCTCGGTCGAGTCGAGAGGCTATGAACGCGCTCACGTCCTCCTGATGCTGTCGAGCGTCGTTAAGGCTGAGTATATGAGTGACAGATGACATGAGGACCCAGATGTCGGCTTCAGGACGACTGGTCACCAGTAAGTGAAAGTCCTTCTCATTGCTGTCGAGCTCGCAGAGATGTTCCAGAAAGCGAGCAGAACCTCTGTCCCGCTCCTGCTCGGGGCACTCATCCAGTGCGTCAATCACGATGAATACGTGTCCAGCAAGTTTCATCAGATTCGACAGCATGACAAGTAGCTCATCGTAGGTCGGAGATGTAGTCGTCTGCTGTCGTTGAAGATAGCCCTGGCAGGCTTCGGAGCAGGCTGCCAGTTGAAAGACCAAAGAAGCAGCCAGTGAACGACAGTCTTGCTTCGCATTGTCACTGAAGTCAAAGTAGAAGTACACCAAAGGAAACGCAGAGTCCTGCTTGAGCTTCTCGATGATCGACGAACTACGTTAAGATGTGAGTGTTGCATTCGGAGAAGTGCGACAAAGATCTCGCACCACAGGACACTCTTTCCAGCGCCAGCTTCATAGATGATCAGTTTTAGTCTACTCGAAGGTATCCTTCGACATACCATTGCCGTATATCCAATACACCCCGTTCCTTTGCGCCATCCAACTCTCCCACTTGTCGTCGTCGAAGAACCATCCACAGCTGTCGAGACGCCGCTTCTTCGCCGAGTTGAGCGGTTGCGCATTGGGCGGCTGAAGCCACTCGCGAAGACCCCTGAGGACTGGAACGAATCTTATTTAAGAATGGCAGAGATCATATATGGGAAGTCGCATCTACCTGCTTGGCCCGCGACTCTACCGACTGTATTAGCGACAGAGTCTATCTTGGGTTGAACTGCGACAGCGATGAGCCGTCCACTCAATGTACGTACGGAGGGATACGACTCACGTGCACGTGCAATAGCGTTGTTGTGCGCCACAGCCGCCAGAAGCTCCGCATTTGTAAGGTGCTGTAACTTCTCAAGCGCCGTCTTGACCTCACTACCTCCAATGAACTCGCGAAGATAGTCCCCTGCAGGTGCAAGCTCAGCAGGAGCAACGATTGTTTATAGAGTGTACGCACTCGTGCGCCTCGAGACGGCACCCCAAAGACCCTTGTTACTCGAATTGCAATACTTTGTGGTCATCGCAAGTACCTCGAGTACTTGGATACAGGCCTTGACGAGGATATCCATTAGAACAGGGGCCGGCGGCGTTGATGGGTCCGATAGATCGGCATCATAGAGGCCGCTTACGCCCTTCGTGGCCTGATGTTTGTCAGAGCGCTGTGCAGCAAGAATGAGACGAACACCGCTGCACCTGCAGAAGTATACTGACGGCGACAAGAATGGTTTTACCTCCTAGAAGTTTTTCCTTTCAGGCAGTTAGAAGTGGGTTGCATTGGCGGAGATGAAGTGAAGCGGTGCTCACCGCGGAACCGGCCTCGGCAGCAGTATCGATGAAAAGACAAACGAAGTGTACTGTAGGCTTCAGCACATGCAGAACCTTTCGACCGCGCGCTCTGAACGCCTCGAACGACTGGCTCTGTGCCGCAAAGATCGCAAGGACTTCTTCGAAAGTGGCAGGGCGAAGTGGAAAATCCTCCGCGTTCGCGCTCTTGAGCAGCTTCGTTCCAGTCTCTTACTCGTGGCGCTGGAGGGCGACATTCCAGAGCTCGCCTAGATTGGACGGATTCGGTGTTCCCGCCTCTAAGTTCGGAGGCCACCGCTCAGCCGTAGCGTGAGTAGACATATGTGCTCGACGGTGGTGGCAGATGGATGGAAGGGAACTGGGCTGGCGGTGCTATTAAGGCTTGAGCAAGCCCTTTCAAGCGTTTGAGGCTGGTTCGCGATCCGAGCCATTGAAGAGAACCCACTTTCAGGGCTTTATGGTCGCAGCTCTAGCTGCATTCGTCCTTGCCCGTCCCGCGCAGTTTTCTGGCATGCGCGTAGTCCTGAGCGATTCTGCTA